GACCTTATGATAATGATAACATCGATAAAACTTGGAAGATAACAACGTGAATGCGCAATCCTCAATACACTCACTGTTCTACCGTAGACAATCAGTGACAAATCACTGAAAGCTTCGAACTCAGGTTTTTTATAACCTGTAGAGCATATGTGAAGCACCAGGTCGGGAGAACATTCCAAACTTCAGTGTTTCACTGTTAACACCTGATAGATATGAGGCAATTTATAAAATTTCGAATGCCCAATTCTTTATTAAATTCTACATTGATTACGAGTGTTGGGACGATGATATACGCATCGGGAGAAAAGAATAAATGATCCAAATACTCGATGAAACATACAAGCAGGGATTTTCAGATGAATTATTCTTCCACACCTGACTAGTGGATTTACCGTTTGTCAAGACATTTCAACATTTATATATATATATATATATATATAAATGCATACATAAGCAGCATACCTCTTGAATGTTTTCACTTGGTTGAGGCAGTAATTGCTGTATGTACTAGATTTGTTTGGCTTCCTATCTGCTTGATCTGATGATAGGTCTTTTCCAACATACGAATAAATATATTTATGTATGCGTTAGCAAGAAGTGATATCACTTTCATAGACGAATGAACATATATCTCTTTCCTAATTCATGTAATTTCATGACTATGCATTCCTTTAGAATAGAATATTGTAAAATTTGGTGTTGCTGAAATGTGATTTGTCATCTGGCCCCCATAATTACTGCTATTTATAACTTGAATTGTTAATTTTTCTACGTGTGTTTCAGAATATAAATGGAATTTACTGTGTTTTCGATCAACATATCATGTGAGTTACCAAATGATATTTAGCTACGCTGCCTACCGGTTTTCTCACAGCTTTCCACTGTTTATGAATGCTAAATTATCTTTTTAAAGTGTGCGTAAATAACTTCCTTCTCTCCGGTTCAAAGACTCTTATGATCTGATGATTGATGACCCCTTCTAGATTTATTGATTAAAATAACTAATAGATCGTTTGATTCGACATTACATTAATTTTGCATATTCAGAGGGCAGACTATAGTCGCCAGAGAAATGGATTTTTTAAACCGTCAGAGATAAGTTTGCGATCCCACCTTAAAGATTTGTTGTCGGTATCACAGTTAGATACAGTTATATTGGTCTGAGATAGAGCTAGAATGTATGCTTAGTACTAAATATAATAAACTTAAGTTATTATGCCTTTGATAATTGCGCTTTGTTTTGAATAATTACGGATTAGTATCATCTTGATGGATGACTTTTGAAAACAATAATGTCTGGATTCACTAGCTTAATCAATTTTAGTGTGAAATGATGGTTATGATATGGAATGCAACAGAATAATTTTTTACGAGTTGATCACGGACTGATATCAGTTAGAGAACCATTGAAAACCACGGAGCACTGGACAGCTGCTGTTTCATCCTAGTTCGGGAATCACCGGCAGTACGCACCCACTGGGATTCGAACCCAGGACCTTCCGGTTACAAGGCAAGCTCGTATACCATTCAGCCACTGGGACCCGATTCAATGGCTCATGAATTCTAACTTCTACCAATTCGTGATTTTAGCGCGACCCCAACTATTGTCGTTGGTGGGACATCCATCCACACACGTGACTTGGTTTTCAATGGTTCTCTAACTGATATCAGTCCGTGATCAACTCGTAAAACATAACTAATCCTTACAAACCAAAACTATAGAATAATTTTTGTCATTACTGCTGCAAAATTTCTCCAAGCCAAGTTTGATTTAAAGCAGATTGCTTTTGGGTGTGTATGTGTGATGGAACATTTAGAGCATTTATGTATTAGTTAAATTATATCCAACGAAATATTTTGATTACAGCTTGATTCCACACCGTGTTTTTGGTACAAGTAGGGAATTTTCAAGATGTGGTGTCAGTAGCCCAAATTTTGCAGGTCGACCATTGAAACCAGGTGTGCGTTGGCCAAGGATTGAACCCTTGACCATGTGCATGGTTGGCATGAGTCCTAACCACTGTGCCACCGGCAATATGAGATGTACGCAGCAAATCTCAGTGAAATGACACTTGTCTGTACTATATGGTACTTTATTTTATATCAGTTGTTAGGAATTGATCGCAAGACTGTTAGAATCACCTGAGCACTCATCATCTGGATGCCTTCTCGTTCGATAGCATACTGGCTTCTAGGTATTTAATGTTCTGTTAAAATTTGTGGCTTCACAGTGTAGAACGTTCACTTATACATGTATTTTCCTGGAACATTTAACAGTGTTTGTTGAGAGTCTCCATGGGATGCACAGATGAAATGAAACTAATATAGTGGTGAGGGCTGGCTGCTTGCCAAATCGGTAGACATTAGTTTACGTCAATGTTTATGTCCCAATATTGGTCGTGAGAAAAATAAGAACAAAGACTTGGCGTAGGCGGATGCAGTTAGCATATAGATGATGTGACATTCGAGAAACAGCCACAAAGAGATGAAAGATTAACTTTCAGTGAGAAACAAGCAATCAGAAGACTGTGTTTTTCTGCTGACAATAATCTACAATAATGCACATAAAAACCTATGTGTTGATTTCCTCAGTAAACGATCTGTTGCCTGGTCCTTGTCTTCTGTTGTTACAATATGAAATCACAACTCTCTGATTAGCATACTGATGGAACAATTATCTCTCTGCTTATTGTTTCTGTTGGACCAAATCATCTGCTCAGATTTATATATAATCTTGACCACTGTCTCAGTCACATATTACTGCTAAGTATGACATAATTTTCTAAAGTTATATTATTATTATTGTATCCTTTAATTCCTACAGGAACATAGGGCTTCAGCCGTGCGTCTCCATTGCGTTCTGTTCTCTGCTAGAGTCTTCACCTGGCTCCAAGTCTGTCTACACGTTTTCATCTCCTCTTCACATGACCTCCTCCAAGTCACCCTTGCACTGACGACCAACTCACCGCTTCCCTTTCGGGTTCCACTCGAGCGATGGCTTGTCTAGTGATGTCATTTGATGGTTTCCTAAGAGTATGGCCAATCCATCTCCATTTCTTCCTGCCTGTTTGTTTCACAATCGGTTCCTGCTGGGTTGGTTCGCTCCCAAAGATCCTTGTTGCTGATCTTTTCTGGCCATCTGATCTTGAGTATTGAGCAAAGACAACTGTTAATGAAGGTTTGTAGTTTGTTTGAGATGCTCTTTATGACGCGCCAAGTCTCTGATCCGTATAGTAGCACTGACTTCACATTGGAGTTGAAAATCCGGATCTTATTTTTGATGTTGAGTGCTGTTGACCTCCACACAGACTTAAGAGTAGTGAAAGCTTGTCTTGCTTTCCCGATCCTTGCTTTGATATCCTCGTCAGTTCCGCCTGTAGTTGAAACGATGCTTCCCAGGTAGGTAAAAGAGGTTGTTTCTTTCAGGTTCCTCCCATTTATGCTGATTGTTGTCAATTGTTGTTGTTGCTGTTGGTGGTGTTGCCCAGGAATTTTCATCACCTCTGTTTTATCTCTGTTATATTAGTCTACGTATATATGAGCATGCGAAATTTTACAACTGGAAACCATGCATGTGGTCTTAGTTATATTTCTGATTGACCCACTGCTGAAACTCATCCATTTCTTTGAGCGACATTATGCCCTCAAAAGAGAAAACTGTTGGCTGGGGATATAACAAGCCCACCGCGATAAAATCGACAACATCGCTACTGTAACTCAGGAAAAGTCTTGTCACTTCTGTTTGACTCTGAATGCAAAGAACGAAGAGAAATGCAACTCCCTTATTTATCACAAACTATATTGTTTCATATTTAATCATCACTGAAATCAATAGTAGAGTCCATTTAAGAGGCAAAATGATTAAATCATATATCGCTTTACTTCATATGAATTCCCATTGATTGTGTCGAATGTCAATGAAGTATTCTTGTTGATCTAGACTTTCAAAAAGCAATTCAGTGTTATCCTTAACCTGCTTTGTTAGTCCTTACCCAATTGAATTCTGATTCTTCTTTTCCTTATTAGTAAATCTTTTATCGCTTTGCTTAACCATGACGTACACACTGGGCAATTGATGCTTTTTAATTGATGATGGCTAACAGTAACACTCAAAACTAACATTTCATTGTATTCAGGACACATCGAGTAGATGCACCTGTTTCCTGATGAGTTACTGTGTTCCTGCTAAAAGTGAAACTCACCTTCGTGTATATCATTCAAATCACTTCAATAACTAACTGTGTCTGGTTATTATTCAAACAAATCTATTATTTCACATTCTGATTACATGCTAGTTTACTGTTGCATTATTTTCCCTTCTTCTTCTTACAAGTGAATAACTCATCAAACGTTTTTTTGAAAAAAGCGAAATTCACAGATGTGTCCCCTTCCTAAAGATTGAAAACAGTTTGAAACTAATCAGACCATGAGTATTTTTCACAGTTGAAACCGCATTTCTTTCGGTTCCCATTGAGACTCATACAATTCACCAATAGTTTCTGAATGCGCTTTATCTATCAGCATATTGAAGAATCTTGTATCCGCCACAATCTTTTAATAATTTAAGGATTTTTTGGGCTCAAAATATCTCGAAAAAATACTTAAAATGAAATATTTAATTATTCTCGAAATTGTGAATATATACATATAGAGTCAGCTTTATGTTTCATGCTTCAATATTCAAAGTTTTTTAAAAAAATGAAAAAGTATTACGTGAAGGCTCAACTAATTTGGTTTCACATCATGCGTTGATTTGATTGATGTGTGATAAACACTTCATGTGTTTAGTGGTGGATAACAATCAAAGAATACCGCAATTGTGAGAGGAAGAATATTAATGGAATTATGAAGTGATAGTGGCGTAATATTAAACTAAATTTCTCTGTTCTCTTCTCTGTAACAACAGAAAACATGATAGTATCGATTGCATCACGTGCTGTTATTAACTAGAAAAGTCTGCATATATAAAGCTCAGTTGTAAAACATGGAGTGCAAACTATTTTCACTTTCATTTCTCAAGCGTTTGGAATTAACGAATGCCAATGCTTTTGAAGTGGCTAGTTGTGATTTTATTTTTACATGCCTGTGGTAGTTAACAAATATTCTATTTTTTATCAAATCTGACACATTTCATTTGAGACATTTAAAATGTTAAATTCCTATTTTCCTTTAACACTGAACAGAAAGATTTTATGTTGATTGGTGTTGACAAGAAATACAATAAATGGCAAGAATTTTACGCTACATTTTACTGTTAAGCTGGATTTGATTGTATTGCCAATCGGTGTGATATGATGTCTGGAGAAGCCACTGTTTTAAAAGCCATAAAAATGAGGCTTACGCTGAATGTTTTCCAGAGCCACCTTATTTGCCATGAGTGTCAGATAGTGAATATCTCCAGTCGAATGCTGATTATATTGAATAAGAAAATGAATGAATAAAGACTGAGAGCAGATTAGACATTGATGATTATCAAACGTGATGTAAACAGTAGGCAAATTTATATCCTTTAAAAATGGTGACATAAATGAGCTGTTAGTAATGCATATGTTAGAGTGAAATGGAAGAAAGGCGTGAGGTTAGATTAATACTATAACAAAAGTATCAACTTAAAGTAATAGAAAATATGTCGTCCAAAATTACGCCCGAGATGATGGAGACGAATCGGATGAAGAGGGTTGCAGAAAACAGGATTAAATGGAATTGTGCTATTGAGTACATGGTTTCAATTTGAAGGCTAAGGCGATAATAGCACTGATTGGAGCAGAGTAAACACGCTCCTCATCCAGTCAATGTATGCCACTGCAAAAGATCACCTGCTTAAGACACCTTGATTTCCAACAACCAACAAAGAGTACTGGGATGACAGTATGTCAAAATTACATTGAATCTTATCATTAATGTTTAGAATTTAATGTGTATATGACCATAGTTTGAAGTGTAAATACGTTAAATCCTTCCTATATTTGATTGCATTATTCGTGTAATAAACGAGTCTTTTGACATTTAATCGAATATTTCAAAATCATTTAGAAGCAGGAGGAGGTTCAGGTCGTGGTGAGTTGTTACGCATTTATTATTTATGACTAATTGCTGTTTATGATTTACGAGAGTGCATTTCGCTCAGGTATCCTTTTTATTCATAAGAAGGCCTCAGTTTGGATCCAACTGAATATTTTTTTTGAATTAGAAAATACCATCACGGTGTCAGCGGTACAGCGGTTAGTACACTCGCCGACCATGCACATAGTCCGGGGTTCGATCCTTGGCCGACACATTACTTTACCTCTCTAAGCCAGTAGTAGAACTGTCAAAGAAGGAAGGTTGGGCATGAATCGAGCAACCCTTTCCTGTAAAAATAAATACTGCTACAGAAAATTCAAACCCCTAACTTGAAGCCCTATGTTCCACTGAGAACATAAAGGAATAAAAGTATTCACGGCGATAGCTTCGTTTACTTTATGAACAGAATGTTAGATGGGAATAAACTGTCTAATGTGAGAAATCATAATCTAGTTTTCTACTAGATGAAATAATTTTACTGAGGAAATGTTTGTGGAGGTGAGGATGAAACTAAAGATAATACCAGTATTCATACGTGCACTGAAATATAACTACCCAGCGAGTAATGTTTGACTGTTAAACAGTTCTAGTCGATTTTCATGATATATGTATATATATATATATATTACATATACATTAGTACATATAGTATTCCTATTTACTGTGAAGATTCATCAGTTGATTGAGACAAATTCGAAAGCCAAGTTGTATTTTCCGCCCAATAATCACGAATTATCCTGACAATTCACAAAACCTACAGTTATTCAATTCACTGAAACTGACGTGATGATCCAATCTCACAAAAGAAGCACTTTGAAATATTTGAAGTCATGTTGCTTATTTACGCGTGTTTCATGTGAAAAAAAGTGGTATCAAAGGAGGAAATCTCAGTCACTTCCACTCATTTCATATGAATGGTTGCCAAAATGCAGCCTGATCACCAATTTTCAACACAGATAATTCAAATGATAGTATATCAAAATTGCATTAGTTTTTCTGCAGACTGCAGACGTCAGGTTCTCTCCATATTTCATTGTTTTATTCGTGTAATCAACATATATGATGATAGTGAATGCAGTTTTCTAAAATCATCCAGGAAAGAAGACACCTACACCTACAAGTATGTGTTTATGCCTATTTTTATGATGAATTATTGGCTTCTGCATAGTTAAATTCTTTTATCATGGAAGTCTTTAGTTTGGGAATAGCTAAATATTATATATTGGAATATAGTGTCACAGAGATTGCTTTGTTAATATGAATGAAAATAGGCTTGTTTGAATGTCAAATGTACTGTCTCAGAAGGCACCGTAGAGCTTCTTAGGAGATGAAATCATTTTAATCAGGAAATATTTGTAAGAGTGAGAATGAAACTATAGAAAATAATAGTGTTCATATAGCCTATGCATTCAAATGTGACAACCGAACAAGTTATGTTTCACTGCGAAACAGTCCTGGAAGTGTTTCAAGACATATAAATATATTTATATATACAATATCCTGTTTTTTATAAATTAATAAATAATTGGTGGAGATAAATTTTCATGTTTTAAATATTATTCTAACATCGGTGTAATCAGTGAATATGGTGGTGTTAAACGAAGCATATTCACCCGTTAAGCTATCAGGTCAACGACAACAACTTGTGAGTTGTCATGTATTGATTACGAATGAATAATTAATGCTATTTTTGATTTATAAGAGGAGTTTTAACGCAGCAACTTCTTTTTTCATAGAAAATCTTCAGTTTGGAATGAACAAAACAGCATAAACCAGAAAAGAGTATCACAAATAATGGTTTGTTGAATGGGAAACGACGAGGAAAGCGTACGAGAATGATATGGAGGTGACAGTGTGGGGAAGATACGAGACCCTATTCGCAATCAAAGGGCTAGCTGAAGAGGACTGCCGAAGGTTGGAAGAAGTGAAGATTTGTTTTGATTGGTCTTTAGTGACAAGCATTGAATCAAAGTATCCAATACAGTCATACAGGAGATCAATCGCAAGTCGGAATAGCTCAGTGGTGATGTCTGCCTTAATCAAGTTCGATAGCTGTACTCAAATACAGAGAATTTAATTAATAGTATGTTAGATATTCATTTAATCCTGTCATAAGTATTCAGGACTTAATGTCTATGTGGCTAAAGTTTGTAGATTATGAACTTCAAATTCGCCTTATATTCCATTCTGTCATTCTTGTAACCTGTTAACATAGAGGTATTAAATGAAAACACTTGAAACGCCTTAGCTAAGGTACCAGCTCTAAATACGTGTGTTTTATATGCATTAATTATGCACTAATAATTGGTGTTTTCTCGACTTACATGGGTTGCTTTCCGTTACATATCTTCCTTTATCGTTGAAAGTCTGCAGTTTGTAATTAGCTAAACCTGTATACATTAAAATCTGTTATCACAGAGATTGATTTGTGTAAATGTATGAGCAAATTGTTGGTTGCAAATAAAATGTCTTATCTGAGAATTCCCAATAGAGTTTTGCAAGATATGAAATAATTTTAATGAAGGAATGTTTGTAAGAGCACGTATGAAACTGTAGATGACATCAATACTTATATAGATGGAAGCTTGTACCTCATTTGCATTTAATTATGACAAGGTAGAGGGTTATTTTTGGCCGTCAGGTACTCCCAAAAACATTCCGATGTAAATATATGCATATATGTATACAGAATATCGCCATTTCTAAGAAAGGACTAGGTGTTTGGATTTCCAATAATGCACATGTCAAACAATACATACATACGATAAGTAAACGACTATGATATATGTGCACTTAAATATGCTATCCGGAGAATTATTATAGCTATCTAGGTATCATTATTACTTTCCAATATATATATATATATATATATATATATATATATATAAGATAGTTCGTTCAATAATGAAGATGAAATGGCCAAAACGAATTGCCAACAAAGAATTTTGGAAACTAATTTAGAACATTTGTTTGGACAAATATTGCGAAGAAATTGGAGATAAGTTGGTCACGCGCTGAGGTTTTCGTTTAACACATGAGACTGGCTGATTAAAAGAAGCTTTTTTGTTTTTATAAATAATAATCTGCCTTATTACAAAAACAGTACTTATAATAAAAAATGGAATTCTCAGCATGTCACTGTATTGCACCTAATCAACCCCAGTGGGTGCTTAATGGTTTTCAGTGGTACTCTAACCGATATCAATCCGTGGTCAACTCGTAAAAACAAATCTAATCCTTACAAATCAACTATTGAAAATAAAATTAACCAGAGAAATTTGTTCACATTTACGGTTGGAATAAATTCAAAAATTTGCAAAGTACAAAACGAGGATAAAAACTCGAATAATAATAACAGTGGGTTTGTTTCAAACACTAGTGCCGAAACAGTTTGGGTATTTAGGCACTTTATAGCGTATTGCATCTAATGTTCAGCAGTCAGCGATATCACATCTAAGAGTTCAAAGGACATCGTGTCAAATTTACATTTAATCCTGTGATGAGCATTCAGCACTTAATGTTTTTCCAGCTATAGCCTGAAGACCAGAAACTTCATATCGCTCTCTTTCATTCTATCATAATTGTTATCAATGAATGCGATGATACTTACTGAATGATTTCTAAACCACGCAGCTACGGCATTACCTTTACATGAATGTGAGTTGTTGTGGATTTGTTTTTTATGAATAATTGATGGTGTTTTCGATTTGCAAACTTGGCTTATGCTTAGGCATTTTGTTCATCATATAAAGTCTTTAGATTAGAATGGTCAAATTATCTTTACATTAGGTTTGTTTTTATTTATCTAAATATTTGAATGGCTTATTAATCTGCATTTGAGGTATTTTTATCTTTAAATCATCTCATGTAAAAATGTCCCGCGACATATTCTCTAAATTTCATAATGTCTTTGTGAACTACGTTTCACTTTCTGTCCACTCACTTATGAATTTTCTTTCATTAAAGTGCCATCAACTTTAAAATTCAGACATTTACTCCCGAAATAAGAAAACTGAAGCTTGTAACCTTCAGTGACGGAAGTGCAAGCGTGCTAGGCGGAATACAGGGAACCAGTCATTGCTAACAAACAACACCATAATAAAAGATAGTTATATCCTATAAAATGCGTGACAGTTATAAATAGTAACATCATATCAAAATAACCTCAAGTATGCCTTTAGGTAGCTATACATTAGAAGAATTTCTCACTTGCAAAATAAATACTGTATAACTAAATTAGTTAAATGAATAATCAAAATAAGTATTGTCTTTGAATAGAATATTCGAAACTAGGTGGCTTCGATCTCTGTCAATAGGAATCTAATACATTCTGCTGATAGTCCAACTACAAAGAGTCGCCACTACATAAACTTCAGTTCGTTTACACAAAGTCCCAACTGTAAAACAACGCGTAATCTTCATTAGTTTACACCTGAAAATTTCAAGAGGAATAACACCACAAACATAGGCCAATAATAAATAGTGAATATGAAGGAGATATGTACAAGTTGGAACGATAATATACAGGTAATAATTACACAAGAAATAAGGAATATTCAAATAAGCAACAATATTGTGAATATGCTGTCAAGGAGCGGTTTCCGGATCAATTGTTCTGCCACATAACCATTGTTGTATTTTTTTGAAAACTTTCGGTAGATCTGACAAGCTAAATATTTCATCTAATTCCTTACAATATACACACTAGTTGAGCAAAGTCAACCCTGCATTTAATGACTTTTATTCAGTAAACTGTGATACTTTCTATTGATTCCAGAATGGATGGTTTCAAATATTACTCTTTACAAGGTTCAACAGTTGGTCTGAAATTACTTCGGTTTATTGGCCTTGCATGGAATTAACGTTGAACAGTCTTTCCGGAGAATTTGTTCCTTGCATTAAGATTAAGAATTATATTGAATCGTTTCTTGAATTTCGGTCAGTATTAATGTCAAACTTCGTCCATTTTCCTCTCACCATCTCTGACAATAACGTTCTAGTACATCGTTAATATGATCACCAGTTTTTAGTAATTCTGATTCTTTGCTGCAACTTTTCTATTTAAGGTTTTTATTCGTGCGCGAGAAACCGTAAGAAAAAACGCATTTCTTATTGAACAAATTCTACATGATATCTTACAATCAATGTATACTATTTTTTGAAAATATTAGTTCTATATGCTAATAAAAGCACTTACAATTCAGACGAATAGATACTTCAAATAACTTACACGCGTCTAACTTCGCAGACTTCTTTGCTTGCGTATACGACTTTACAAGATGCAAGATGCAGTCATAGTACTAGTGTCGAATAAAGAATGTCATTGCTAAATACATTTCTTTTAAGTAAGTGCCGTTTAGGCTCCTATTACGTTTGTGTTTCTGGTGAATTTGACAGTCACTTTCTTTCATGGTAATGTTGAACCATACCCCAATATTCATCAGTTTTTCTGATCTAGTCCTCCTAATCTGTGGCAGTATGTGTTGATTGATACTCATACCTAGACATCAGGCTTCTGAGTTTCACGCGTGAAATTGCATCTTCATGGTTTCATGATAGTATATATATATACCTTATCTCATCAGAAAGCCTTCCTTTTCACTTGTATTCTACTGGTGCTTATTCGAAATGGTATTTGACTGGTCTGTTTTAACATCACTTTCTTCACAACTGGCATATTCAACAGGCAAGTAGACCGAGATATACTTCTGTCGAGATAGAGAAAACTGAGCAGTTAAATCATGCCTTCCTCTCTGCAGCGATGGTATCAAAATACACTTAAAATGCTGGCCACCTGGAAATCTAGTTAGCCTTTAGATATGGTGTAAACAGAAATATCATTGAAAATTTTCAAAAAGGGTTGGAATTAAAATAAAGAATCCCTGGTTCAGTGTCACATTCTATCTGCTTCATCTCTGATTAATAATTTGTGTTGATATCAACTATAAGATCGAGGGTTCACAAAAATATTTTATTCTTTTTCAAATGGATTCAGATAATCCTAGACTTGACTGCTGTAAGTGTTAAAATGCATAGCAGGACTGATTTAATATTTGCTTTCTGAAATTCTTCTCTGTTATTATGCACAAATATCACTATTGGAAAGCAGAACACACTTGAAAATACAACCCTGTCGAAAAAGTTTTAAAGTATTTCAAGCTTTTTATTATAAGCTAATTGGTAAATCTGGTTGAAATCAATTACATCAGTAGACATGACATTCAGCGTAAACACATGATATGAATCATTGATATAAGAATAAAATTTGGGCACTGTGGTAGAGTGTAATTCCATTATGGGTAAATTGTATTTTGATAAAGTCTCACAGTGTTATACAGTAATATTTACTGATGACGTTTCGAGCACAATTTATTGCTCATAATCATATCAAGGTAATCACACAAGCTCTGTATGAATATTTTCTAATAATTTTCGGGATACGTTTAGTAAATTGGAATAGTTCGGACAGTTGTTGTGAGTTAACCACTTTAATGAAAACATCAAAAATTTTACGCTTTTCATATTTCTATTACTTTATTATACTTAGACAGGATAGGTTATGAAGTCGTACACCTGGCTGTTAACAGGAGCATTCTGTGTCTTCACTTATTCAAATGATATTAACTTGTCTAAAGTCTTTTGCTTTGCAAGGAATATTCTCGGGGTTTCTGTAGCAACAAAGCAAGCAAGATGTTTCCAGAGGATTTAGTTTATTTGTGATCGACCGCATTCTGATAGAAAAGCTGTTGGACATTTTGCAGGAAGTTTCATTATTAGTTGTATTTTACTACATAACTTATTGGTAAGCATATGCACAGAATCGGGAAGAAATCACAAGGAAGCAATCGAGTTAATCACGATTGTTTTATAGATACCGAGTTATTTTATGTAGGATGATGTGGTATCTTGCTGATAACTTTACAGTTTTACAAACTTCTCACTTTCAAAGTGAGACCTCTCATGTTATTTTGCTTATATCAAATGATACAATGATAAAGTGCAAACATGAAGAGTCAATGATGCACGGAGGTTTACTTAATAATTATTAAATATTTTCAGCGGAGTCAGCAAATTTGAATGATGAAGACTGTAGTAAGTTATTCACTTTAACTGAAATACAACATGAGTGTGTGAATTTTGGATTTCTATTTCTTCATTTTACCATTAGTTAGTAGGTTAGAAAGTTATCCTCTTGACAATTAAAGTGAACACAACGTCTTCATCGACTGCAATGATTCAAACCTAGCAATAGTCCTGTCTGTACTTGAGCTAATTTAATACTACTTCATTATTCGTTATTTGAATTCCGATTGAAACAGAGAGCTACATTGATACACCTTCACGACACTTAGTTCTCTGTCATCATTTTCAGCTGGCCCAATGCCTGCCCCCTAGGATATATTTCCTTTCCAAATGATCCCTTCCATGTCACACTACGACACCTAACTATTTGTGTCCAATTCAAATTCCAATTGTGTGCCAGGTATAAGACATCATCCAGTGACGTGCCCAGAGTGTATGTGGAATATATCTGGATTTGCTGCTTTATATATTTTTGTCAATAAATTGTTGGTTGGTCGTTTCTCACCGGCCATCTAATCTTCAGTATCAGCCGAAGATAATAGGTGCCCAGGAAAGTGCCAGCCTATTTCAAATGCTTAAAGTGGTGAACGCCTCAAGTGTCTGAACCAAATCTAAGCAGTGAGCAGACAATAATATTGAGAATCTGGATTTTGTTTCCTGTTATGTGAAAGGAAGAAGATTCTTTTCTACTCAGGATGATCAAACTCCCTTCAGGTCATCAGCTCCATAGTGGAGTGGAGGCTGCGAATTTTAGACAGGATTTTGTTATTTCCATATTTGTTGGTGGGAAAATAAATTTCGCCTATTCCGTTATTAAATTTTAGAAAACAGTGGATACATAAGATGTGAGAAAACCCTTTATCTACCCTCTAATCACATTAATATTTTAAGAGGATCACTTATAATCACTTTGTAATACATTTCGACTTTAGTGGCAACAGAAGTTAGGTGGCTGACTAAAGTCGCGGGCTGTTTGAAAATAATAAATTAGGTTAACTGTCCAAAATATGCGAGATCAGTTATGCTCCCTTCAATAAACAGAAGAAGTAATACTGATTGATGCTTCAAAATCATAACTGCTCCTTTTTGACTATTCTACTAACTGGTATATAAACATGTGGCATAAATTTCTAATTAACTAAAAACGAGGTCTAATTAGCTATTTACCGCTACAGATAACAGCCTTGACAGAGAAGAATGAAACTGTGAAAATGAACGGTTGCTGTCAAGGGAACATATTGTCTTGAGAACAAATAATGCGAAGCAGGGTCAGGTATATTGCATAAATCCTGACATTTACGCACATCGTGTGAAATTCGATCCCTTCAGAGTCAGTTCACTCTTGATTAGGCATCAGTGCCCGCAACAACTTTAAACATCTATTAGGTAATCACAAACAATATGAAATCGGAAGCTTCACAGTTTGGGTGACATTCAAATCTAATGACATCAGACTGAATAGTGTCTGAATGAATGCATATGACTGGAACTAGAAGTTAAATAGAAAAACAGCATTTTCGATTACTGACATCGAAAGCATCACATTAGTATTTTGAGGAAACTAGTTTGAAATATGAAATGTTTTCTCACTTATAATGGTGTACTTAATCAAATAAAAATTCATACTAATACGTTTGTTATTCCTTCTGCTAAATCAAGTTCAACTGAATTTCAGGTCGGAAAACGTGCTGTGAAGAAGTGAGAAGAATTGAGTTATTCATTAGGACTATAATTCAGAACTGACTGACATAAGAACTGCACACACACAGAAAAATTTATTCATTTGATACATCTTTTGATGACGCTTTGTTGAAATTTTCATTAACGTTCTCATAAATTCTCAGATGGATTAGTGATAATATTAGCTGGTTTCTCCATTATAAATGGATAAAATTTCATTTCCATGATTGTACTGGGTGGATTAGGAGGTGATATTTTGCTCAGCTTTCGATTTCTACTGTTAAAATTCATTTCCGCTCTATCTATAATTATTACTTGGTAAACACACTATCAATAGACCTTCAGGTTCACGTGTGTGAATAATGGTGTGCAGCCTTCAGAAACTGAAATCGAATAAGTAAGCTTAGTCACGTAATGTGATTTATTTATACAACGAAGGACTAGATAATATGTAGATCTTCTAAAAGTCGTGTGCTTTCATATAATTGTGTATTCAGTTCGACTATCAGCAGATACTTCCGACACTTACGCCAAAACAGTAGTAAATAGTACTATCACAATTTCGATAACCTTATTCCTTTATCAGTACATATATACCGGTTACAAACATTTAATGTTATTTTCGTGTTAATTTTCACTGTGGAACAGCATTCCCTTGAATCCAGGAGTTCAGAAGTTTCTGATAAGTAGTACAATTCACTAGTTATGCGGAGGAGTATGTTATTATTGAATTTCACACTGTGTAATTTGAAAAACAGTTTCAGTCTCCATTTCAAAGGCAAAATAACTCCACTTATTTTGGAATTTATTTCCTTCTTTTCATTGACAGACTTAAATTCATGACGTAGTTATGTATTCACTCTTCAATGTATATTCACACTGATGACTCAAGAATACCGGTGACTAATTCTTAGAGTGATTTTGTCAATTTCGAGGAAGATAATTGTCGCGTCTTAGTTCGACGAAAATGAATCCACAAATTTACTTAGTCAGGGTCTTGTGTGAAATTTCTAGGAACAGATTTATTTCACATCTCACCAGAGTGATTTCTTCATCTTCGTCCGGCTCACATTATAACAATTTATTGATTCGACAATGTAGCGATTTCCAAAGATTAAAGCATTGTAAGTTACCTTATCCAAATAAAAATATAAAAAATCAGTGAGTAAATTGCTTATTTCTGCTTCAGTTATATCAAAATGAAAAATTTAGAAGCTGAACACGTGCAAGTGACTTGTAGTTACAATGTTTTAGTCGTTACTTTGATTTTTTTTTCACTGTTTTATTTTTAGCCAGAATTTCATCATGGTGACAGAGAAATCTGGAAATTGAATCACTGTCCACTGAAAACTCTGATCGCTTTAATTCACACTAACTAACCATGTTAAAAATAATCTTAACTTTATTTTGGACAGTGTTTGTGAAATTCATAAGTGAATGTAATTTATATAACCTAAATTTACAACGGATTAACTTACTAATAAATAAATACAGACTGCGTAACGAAATACGTGAGGTCATCTGTCCAACGTTTCGTTTTCGAGAGTGCTTGGATATTACCAGCCGCCTTTTTTTACTGACTTATTGTCCAACCTTTTTTTATTCAAGGAAAATAAATCAGTTGAGGGATCGGTCAGTGGCAAATTTCGTTGCCATTCCCAAGATGAAATCGCATCAGGGATTAACCGGGTATCTAAAGACAACTGAGATGACGTGTGTTTGGTGCGCGTTGTCGTCGTTCAGTGGGCTTGACTGTGCCTGGCGTTTTCCACCACTTAAGGATAAATATGATGTTAACTGTGTCTAAAATAATATTGTGCTACAGATATTCAGTGTTCACGACTGTATAGTATTTCATTGTGTAAGCTGCCTTAAATTTTAATCGAACGTTTTCGGCACAACTTTTTTGATGAGCAGTCAACATTCTCTGCTGGATAGTTTAACACTGCAAAATAAGGTGGAGCCGGGGGAAGTTAGTTTGTAGTGAGGCATATAGTAAATTGTACATGACAAAACATTTGAACGAAATTACTGAGTTTTCATCGGTGTCTCAATGGCATTCAGATACCTTCTTATATCTAGAAATTTAGGGTCACTTGCAGTTGGTCATGAATATCGCCAAACTTATACTGCTATCCTAACTACGTGAATCGATGGTACTACAGGATGGGTAATATGGCAGTTTTTTACTGGCAATTTTCTCCATTTAATTTATTCAAGGAAGTCATTTACAAATCTGAAAGTCACTGACAAACAGTTTACTGCTACTTCAGTGTACTACTTAAGTGATATCAATGTCTTGCAAGTACAGACCTTTGCATCATATACTGAAAATGTTTTACTAGTGTACTCCGAATAACTTTATCAATGAGATGTAATGAAACTCAGATGATATTGTTTCTGGATAGTTTGATTTTTATTTAGTGCCATCTTGGTATTTATCCATCCGACTTTGGAAGCTGTGTTTACTTACAGAGTGTAAGTCGTATGCAGTTCATTTCTTCAGTCATTTCACGACACTTATTGGTCATAAAATTTACTAATCAAACGCTTTTTAGTCATCAAATCTGTTACAATTTACACTGAAACTAAATAAGTGACAGTCTGTTGGTTTAAATCTACCAAAATGTAGGACATTAGTGTGTTTATGTTTCATGCTGAAGTATAGAAGTCATCGTTGATGAACGATAATGGAATTTTCTAGTGCATAAAATCTGAAAGATGGATAACATTAAACCACATTTTGATTGAAAGTCACTTTGTCTCTGTGCAGACATATTTTACACGAATCCTAGGTTGCATTCTTCTTCTCTACTATCGTTATATTTGGCCACCTGGAGGAACCGAGCTTTACTGAGTTTCCCATGAAGCAGAATTCCTTATTTTGCAGTAAGAATCTTGACCCTACTAAATACTCGAGTAGAAACTGGGACCTAGGAGAAAGCAGCTTTTCGTTGGTGTAGCTATAGAGTACCCACTATAATGTAATATGCTCTTTCTTCCTTAACACTCAAATATAATGGCATTCAACGTGTTTCAAGGTATCCAAGTTTTAATTATAGTATATTACCATTAGAAGATGAAAAATAATTTCAGACTGCTCCTTTCGTGTACAGAAATTATCTTCCCTTCAGTGTATTCAAGTTTTGATAACTAAATGGACTTTCTTTTCGTAAATGGTTACACAAATGTTAAAAGGACACATATTTAAGAAAACACTTACTCACAGTACATTGAGAAATTTCTTCCATTATATAACACATATATACATTTCATCAGTTGCGGCTTGAAAGAACAGCAAGTACTAAGTGGTCAATGTAGAGTGGCTATATATCATATGCAAGTGGAGAAAACGATGACATTCGAAACCAGAAAGCATTTAATAATTAACCGATTCATCCTAGTCCTCCACCCTTCACTAATTCGATTCAGACCATCTCATAAGAGCCCACAAAATGAATACGGTAGACACCACATTTCCACCTTATTAATCTCAGTCTGAAGCTATTCACTACAACCGCTATGTGGTACAGTGGGCCTGTGTAATTCTTACCACCACTGTTACTACCATCGTCACGACTACGCTTCTTCATTTGTTGAATGGGGAATTATAATTCCTAGAGTTGTTATTGTGCAGTTAAATATGTAAAAAATTGAAGAGTGAATAATTCTATTCACCATACGCATGTGTGGATTTAATAAAAATTAGAAGTAAAAGGAAACAAAACTGAAGTAGTTATCTTGTAGTTATCATTTCGTTATTCAATACAATTTATACACAAATATTACCTCTATGGACATGAAAACCACCTCGAATTACACGAAATTTGCGAAGTGTTTCATGGTATACACGTATCATCGAGATGAGTGGTTGTAAACTGGTCAACCTAAGTATAAGTGCTTTCTAGCTGGTCAGCGTGAGTAAACTGCACTTGAACTCTTATTAAACCGAGTGAGGTGGGCAATTGATGATGAGATCACGTTGATCTCAGTGAGAGAAAAATCTGCTCTACTAGGACAGTTTACCAATTACCAGTTTCAGTCTGTAGTTTGGACATCATTCTCTTCGACTATTGGTATCAAGCAGATCCCATGTAGTCATTCAAATATTCTCGGTTTTCCTAACAAAATGGTGGTTAGTGTTTACTTCTCTATATGTGCCTGAGGAATGAACAACTAGGAAACCACTTAGTTAATTTGTATACTGATATAAAAAAGAAATTTTGAATTCTGTTCATCTTATATATATAAATATATATGTATTTGTAATCATAGACTACCTATCAGTCCATCAGTCTATTACTAAGGTAAACAGCCAACCAAATTTCTCTGAAGCCTCGGTAAATCTTGAAGTACAGTTATAAGATATGATAATATTTGAATTTCAGCCATACGTTTTGTAAATTTCTTCTGAATATGGTTTCTCAATAAGGCCACTGATATATACCGCCGAATCTGTCACAGATAAACAAACTGTAAGAAGTGATCCCCAGTCAGTTGACTGGAGACTTGAAACGTAGTAAGCCATGCTCAGAATATTTTTGATTCGGAGAGTTCAAGTTTAAACAAAAATAAATTTTTGCATACAGTGGTAAAGGCGGTAATTAATAAACACAAGAGTTGCGTAAGATGATGAGTAACTAATAAGGTGAGTAACAATATAGTGAGTTCAGCTCAACTCACAGAAAGAAGAAACAAGCAAAGTTACATGATGTAAAAAGGAGAGGAAAGGCTAAGGTTTACGTAATGTGATGAAAGAATAAATATATTCAGTCATCAGGGCAAGTGAATACTTATAACTGCCTTTTATGAGAACATAAATCGGGTTCAGACTCTTGACAGAGGTTGTCTCGGCAAACTTGAGGAGGAAAGAACTATTTTGCCTGGTGATAATTTTAAGGGATTTCACTATCTATACCACATGTACTGTGTTGATGAGATTTCTGGCAATGGCACTGTTGTAAGAAGTTATTCCCTTGAGGCGCAGACTTTCTGGTGCATCTTCATACAATCAATGTGAAATAAATACGGCATGTAATTCTTCAGCTACTCTTAGTAATGACTGGTCATAACCTTGTAGTGACGATTACTTCCGAAGCAACATTCCATCAATGACCATGACATAACTGAGGCAGCTACTACTAAAGAGATTCCTTAATTGCTACATCGTTTTTAATGTCTTCTGCTAGAACAATGACTAGTGACTAGTGTCGAGTTTTAGAAATAGTTGACCTTTCTGAAACAATGTTGAAAACCTGGAAGGTAGACAAGGGATGCAGAATACAGAAAACATGTGCAAACGTTGATTGTAATATGAGCTGTATGTATTTTACTATATCTGTACATCAGTCTGCCGATGGATAACTTTCGTATCGAACACTGCCGTGTTCTGCTTTTGCATACCTATATTACCCAGATGTTTACCTTGTGTTAATTTCATCTGTAAGTAATTGATACACATTAGACTGCTTGTACATGTCTACTTCAAGAAGTGCTGAAGTCGGAACATAATTTTCAAATCGTAGACATTCCTTAAGACTCATGACTAGTGTGTTAATTTTCTGCTATTCTCGTAAATTCAATATCCTACTGACAGATAAATGCAATATAAGTCTATCTCACTCCCCCCTCATCAAACTTGGACACAACAACCTGGTAGGTACAGTTCAGTTCAACTGCTTAAAACGATGAAATAATGTGTTCATTTCTGACATAACATATTATATTTATTTCAAATGGTCGCAGGCAATCAAAAGTGAAGACTTCGACCTAGATTTAGTGCTTTTTGGCACTTGTTTGTAAGGTGTGTCTGCAAACTTCAAGGAAAGTGTGCCCGTTCTGCTGTTGAAAGACGAGTCACAGTGTGCAGAAGTCGTATTGATATATCATGGAGTATTTTCAACTGGCTGCAACCTGATCTATACCAAAACATCAACCACAATAGTGTTTTGAACATAATTCTCTTGTGTTGACAAGGAGTAATTGATATCATGCATAATTAACACAGTGGGTCACACTCAAAACTGAATAATAACTGTCGAATCAGTGGATTCCTATAAAATCTTACTTTGGAATTAATTTCTACAAGTAATCGTTTGACTGCTTTTGAAAATGAATCCTATACTTCTTAGTTGCTAAACGGAAATATTTCATCACTATTACCTTATAATCTGCTTCTCTTCAACCAAGATAATGCAAAGAGTACCACTATACTTAGAACACTACAGACAATGATCAATAAAATAATAAAACAATGGAAGTCTCTTAATTCACTTATATATCATTAACACCTGAATAACTGTTATGTTAAGAAGGTTAGCAGTAACT